CAGGGGAAGATTGATGACAAGGATCTTTCTCCAGAGCCAACATAGAAAGAAAGCCTTTCCCTGGAGCTGATGCCCTGAATTTGGACTTCAAGACTTCTAGACTGTGAGAGAATAAACTTCTGTTTGTTGAAGCCACCCACTTGTGGTATTTCTGTTACAGCAGCACTAGATAAGTAAGACAGCAGCTAACTATAACAATTGCAATTCACTGTTATATAAAAGTTTTAGGATATGACAAATGAAGTACAAGTCTTACACACTGAAAACTACAAAATATCATTGAAGGAATTAAAGATCTAAATAAATGGAAAGACATCCATGTTCATGGATTAGAAGACTTAATATTGTTAAGATAGGTATAGTAGACTGAATCATGGCCCCCAAAGACATCAGGTCCTAATCCCTGGAACCTGGGAATGTTACCTTATTTTGAAAAAGGGTCTTTGCAGATGTGATTAAGTTAAGGATCTTGAGATGGGGAGATTATCCTGGGTACGCCCTAAATGTCATCACAAGTATCCTTATGAAAGAGAGACCAGAAATTTGACTAAGACATAAAATAAGGTGATGTGAAGATGGAGGCAGAGATTGGAGTGCTGTGGCCACAAGCTAACAGTAAAAAGACCACTTGGCTGCTGCATGGAGAGAACTGTAGAGGTGCCTGGAAACAGGGAGCCCAATGCAATAGGTCAGGGAAACATGGTAAGGGTGTGATGATGATAATTACAAAGAAGATCACAGCTACCATTTCCTGGTGAGGGACTATGGGGCCAAGCCCTGGGGTGAACACTTTTCATTTACATATATACATACACCAAAAAACCAAACAAAACAAAACAAAACCTGTTGCCATGAAGTTGATTGCGACTCATAGTAACCCTACAGGACTGACTAGAACTGCCTCACAGGGTTTCCAAGGAGTGGCTGGTGGATTCGAACTTCTGAGCTTTTGGTTAGCAGCAGAGCTCTTAACCATTGCGCCACCAGGCTCCAAACACACACACACACACACACACATTTATATATATATGTTGTTGCTAGCTGCCAAAGAGCCAATTTCAACTCATAGTGACCCAATGTGACAGTAGAACTGCCCCATTGGGCTTTCTAAGCTGTAATCTTTACAGGAGCAGATCGCCAGAACTTTCTCCTGTAGAGCTGCTGGGTGGGTTCAAACTGCCAACCTTTCAGTTAACATCCGAGCGCTTAACCATTGTGCCACCAGGGTTCCCTAACCCATTGTCATTGAGTCGATTCTGACTCATAGCAACCCTGTAGGACAGAGTAGAATTGCCCCATAGGATTTCCAAGGCTGTAAATCTTTACAGAAGCAGATTGCCACGTCTTTATCCCGTGGAGTGGCTGGTGGGTTCGAACCACTGACCTTTCAGTTAGCAGATGAGCGCTTTAACCACTGTGTCACTAGGGTTCCCTAAACGTATGTATGCATGTATATACACACATATGTATATAATGTTATATTTCTTGATGACAAAGATTATTTGATTTTATTTGATCACAAATAGAGATTTCAGTAGCATTAGCAGGCAGGTAGTGGAGTAGGGAGAGCAGGAGGAGGGAGGAATCCATGATGACTGGATGGCTGGTTCTGTTGACTGGGTAAGAATATAAGAGGAGGCAAAGGGTTTTTTTTCTTTTAAGATGAGAGCTTTACAACATAATTAATGTAGTTGATATCGCTAAATTGTTCACCGGAAAAATCTTGAATTGGCAAATGTGTGTTTTATATATATATTTACAACAATAATAATTGTAAAAAGATGAGTGATTTACATTTCTTCCTCCCTTACTATACTACAAACACCTAAAAATAAGGGACATTCAGTTTGGAAGCCCCTCATTGCATGCCCTCTCAAGGCTAATCATGCTGTAAATATTTGTTGATTTGCTGTGTGATGAGAGGCAAGTCCCGTGGCCTCTCTGTGCCAGTTTCCGAGATTAGAAGTTGCTCTAGATGATTCTAAAATTCCTGTCTAGCTCTGAGCTTTCGTGGGTATGTGATATTACCTACCCCTAGGAGTCCCTGCGTGGCACAAATGGTTAAGCACTCATTTGACTGCTAGCCAAAAAGTTGGCTGTTCAAAGGCACCTAGAGGCACCTCTGCAGACAGGCCTGGCAATCTGCTTCCAAAAGGTCACAGCCTTGAAAACCCTATGGAGCAGTTGTACTCTGCACACATGGGGTCGCCATAAATTGGAATTGACTCGACGGTAACCAACAACAATTTCTCGCCAAGGCCTGGTGAGCTGCTTTTGTAAAGATTACAGCCAAGAAAACCCTATGGAGCAATTCTACTCTGTAACACATGGGGCCGCCATAAGTCCGGGTGGCAGGTAACAACAAAACAGTTTCTAGCCCAGGGCAGGAGCTGGATTAATGTCAAAATGTTGTGAAAAGAAAGCTTTGGAAGCTGGCTGTGTGGAGTTCTCCTTAGATCCACCTTTAGTGCTCCCTAGTGGCCATATCTGGGAACCACAGTTTTTGTTGTTAGGTGCCTTTCGGTTGGTTCCAGCTCATAGCGACCCTGTATACAACAGAAGGAAACACTGCCCAGTCCTGCACCATCTACCACAAGCAGGACCATGGAATTGAGAATCTTCAGGCTGGGACTGCAGCCACACCCCCACTGCTTAAAGGTGGAGAGCCTTTTAGAAAAGGTAATAACTCCTAACTCAAGGCAGTGGCCACAGCATCTGCCTGGAGTTCCTCACACACAGCTTAAGAGGGGGGCTTGCCTCTGCTCTGGACAGGATGCTGCTAGACATACATTGCCCTGGGCAAGGGGGTCCTTCTGGGATTTGGTTATGGTCACTGTTCTCCTTAGGCAGAGATGGCTGAGTTCCCTTGGGGATATAGTACCAAAAACTAAACCCGTTGCCGTCAATTCCGACTTATAGCGACCCTATAGGACAGAGCAGGGTTTCCAAGGAGCAGCTTGGTAGATTCAAACTGCCAACCTTTTGGTTAGCAGCCAAGCTCTTAACTACTGCGCCATCAGGGGATATAGTTCAATATTCACAAAATTAATGAATCTTGACAATAATGTCCTGCGTTTGTGGAGTGGCCTAGGTTTGGGCCAGGGCTTGGCCTGACAGAGGCTGAGTTTACAACCAGTTTAGGGTGAGGGCTATGCTTAGGCTGGGGCTGGAATGGGGGGTGAGGCTCTAATCAGAAAAGGAGTCTTTTCTCCATCCTAAAGGAAATGCCTGTCCTCTGACAGGATCCTCCACCCTGAGGACTACTGCCTGGGGCTGCAGAATCCAGCCTCTTTTGGCCGTTCTAACCCCACCCCGCAGCACTTTTCCTCACTGCTCTATCCTCCTAAAAACTCACTAAAGAAACTGAACTCTGCAAAAAAAAAAAAAAAAAAAAAAAAAAAGGCTGAAAGGTAATTTAAAGAAATGAAAGTAGGTATTATAGCAAATCTCATGTACTTTGGTGTCAGAATACTGGGCTCAAATCCTGTGATTTACTAGCTTGTCCTCGGGTCATATCTTCAGCTTCTCTGATCTTCAGTTCCTTATCTATAAAATGGGGGTAATAGTGGGAGTAATAAAAACACCCACCACAAGGGGTTAATATGGGAGCTGGGTGTAGAACGGATTAAAATAAGGAGGCAGTCCTATTACCAGACTTGTTACCTGCAAAAGGATAAAGCATGTAAAACTCTTGGTTCTTGTAAATGCCCAATAAATGACACCTATTACTATGGGTGATTTCTATTTTAAACACAGCTACATTATCTCAATGTTTTTAAACAAAGTTCACAAGTGGTATATCGTAACTCCCTTTAATGGTATTAAGTAGACCCAAGTGAGACTAAACAAAATATTCAGAAGAAAAAAAAAAACAAAACACTGAACTCTGCAGATTGCTCTACCACCATCTCTCATTCTTTCAAATCAGCAGTGCTGTCTCCCTTATCATTGCTCTTGCTGCTCTGTCCTTCACTCCCTTCCCTCCTTGGCAAACTCCCAGTTACCCTTCAAGGCCCCTGTCATGGATTGAATTGTGTCCCCAAAAAATATCTGTCAACTTGGCTGGGCCATGATTCCCAGTATTGTGTGATTGTCCACCATTTTGTCACCTAATGTGATTTTCTATGTTTTAAATCCTATCTTTATGATGTTAATGAGATGGGATTAGTGGCAGTTATGTTAATGAGGCAGGACTCAATCTACAAGATTGGATTGTGTCTTGAGCAATCTCTTTTGAGATACAAAAGAGAGAAGCAGAGAGACACGAGGAGTGGGAGGGGTGACCTCATAAGACCAAGAAAGTAGAGCCAGGACCGTGCATCCTTTGAACCCGGGGTCCCTGCGCTGAGAAGCTCCTAGAGCAGAGAAAGATTGATGACAAGGACCTTCCCCCAGAGCCAACAGAGAGAAAGCCTTCTCCTGGAGCTGGCACCCTGAATTTGGACCTCTAGACTCCTGTGAGAGAATAAATTTCTCTTTGTTAAAGCCATCCACTTGTGGTATTTCTGTTATAGCAGCACTAGGTAACTAAGATAGCCCTGCTCAGGCATAACCTCCTCAAAGAGGCACCCCAGGTTGGGTTAGGGGCATCTGTTACAGCTCTGACCACCCTATTTCCAATGTTTATCTCTGCTGTCATCATGGATCCAATTCATGGCTATGTCCCAAGCAGCCCACTCATAGCTTCTGACAGAAGGGTCCCTGGGGTGGATGAAAAGCAAGGGTAGGTATTTAGGAAGTGAGAAAACTGGATGAGGTCCTTTGGTCTTAGCTGGGAAGGGTTCCCAGGTATTTACTGCTCATTGAGACCTGGGTGTGGCATGAAATCACTAGGGTGACAGCAAGCCAGGCCTCCTCTTTTTTGGTATAATTGAGGCCAGGAGCAGGGAACACAGTTTGAATGAGCTACAAGGGCCCTTCCAGCTCGGCCATCCCAGGACCCTACAGTTAGACAGTTGCCCTTTACCACATGTAGTAGACAGCTTCTGAAGTGGCTTCCAATGACAGCTCCACTCCCCCCTTTCCTGGCATTCATTCCCTTGAGTAATCCTCTCAATAGTGGCCTGGACAGTGACTTGTATATAATGAACAGAATATGACAAAAGTCATAAGTTATTGCCTCCAAGATTAACTTATTAAAGACTGTGACTTCCATCTTGCTTCTACTCTCTCTGGCTCTTCTTGCTTACTGTCTCTGATGAAGCCAGCTGCCATGTGTAAGCTATCCTATAGAGAGGCGCATGTGGCAAAGAACTGAGGATGGCCTCTGGGCAACAGCCATTGAAGAACTGAATCCTGCCAACAACCATATGAATGAGCTTGGAAGTGGATCCTCCCCTAGTCAAGCTTTGAGATGACTGCAACCTTGTGAGAGGCCCTTAAGTAGAAGACTCAGCTAAACCATACCTAGACTCCTGACCCATAGAAACTGTGAGAAACAGATGTGCTTTTAAGCCACTAGGTTTTGGGATAATCTGTTACATAGCAATACATAACTAACATACCACAACAGGGCCATGAGGGCTAAGAAGCAAGAAGGTGGAAGGCTCAGCAAGCAGTCCAGCTGGGGCTGGGATCTTCTCCAACTCTCAGCGTCAGGACGCAGATGCAGCCCCAGGAATAACCTATACAGAACTCTCATTTCCATTTATTTGTCTAGAAATATACAAAAGTCTCACATGGTACAATGATCTCATTAAGAGAAAACAACACAGAGGAGGGGCTGGGTTTCTTCCCACAGAAAGGCACAGAGATGCGGGGCTTGTCTTCAGGGGCCTCCTGTCCTGGAACCAGTCTGCTGCTCAGAGGGGCAGGTCCCCTCTGTGAACAGGAAGAGGGATCCTCTTCCTCACACACAGACTTGGGGGTGTAGGTGAAGCATAACTGAGGCCACTGGGAAAAGTATGATTCAGGCCAAGTGCTGTGTTTATGCTGGGTCGTCAGACTCCTGAGGAAAACCAATCACTCCAACCAGAACGTGGTAGCCTTCTAAGAGATGGTGTATCCAGGTCAGTCTTGTTCGCCAGTGTGGTACCGTTGCCACCCCCATCCTTGCCCTGGAGAAAACCAGTTCAGGCTTAGATTTGAGAGACTGAAGTGGACTGTGGGGAGGAGCTGGAGAAGTTCCCTGGTAGGGGGGTTGGCGAGAAAGGAGAATCAAGCTGGAGCATGCCAGAGGCACACCACTGCCCTCTGCAAAACAGGGACAACTGTGCCCCCTAAGTCTTCCGCTTGACAAGAGGGACTTCCCTGTAGTCGAGTGTGGGGCGGCTGGGAATAGAAGTGTTTATATTAGAAGTGGCTTCTGCCTCTCATCCCTCAGGGCAAAGAGTGAACAATCTAACTGGCCTGAGTCACTAATGGTTGTCCCTTTTCCCCTGACTAGCCAGGAGTAAATTTTCTCAGTAATTTTGGTAAAGAGAAGGGGAGTTGGTGGAGAAACTAGAAAGGCCCAGGTGTATTAGCCACCACCTAGAACAGGACAAACCAGAAGTGAAAGAGCTTGAAATAGTCACTTTTTTCTCCTTAAAAAAAACCTAACATTGTAATGGTTCAACAAAATTATTATAATTTCTTTTAAATAACCCACAGACACCCATGATGCTTCCAAATTTACAGAACAAAAAGCACTCGAGAACTCGGCAGAAAACGATTTGCAGCTGGTTCCTCCCGGGTTCCTGAGGGCTGGCTCAGTTCACCTCCAGGACCTCAGCTTCTGGGAGGCCGAACTTGGTCTTGTGGTTGTTGAAGAGCTTCACCAGGGCCTCCATGTACATGGCATGGTACAGGTCAATGTCCTTCTGGGTCGGTTGCTCCAGCTTGGGAATGGTGATGGGCTCACCCACTGCAGGGATGGGGCAGAGGTTAGTCAATGCCATTCAGTCCCCTCACCCGCACCTGATGGCAGCACCCCTGTGCTATGTGCCTACCCTACGTGTCAGGAACAGTGCTGAATGCTTTATGTGTCTCATCTCAGGCTGTCCCTTTATACAGATGAGAAGACTAAGGCCCAGGAGCAAGGGAAAGGACCTGCCCAAGGTCACACAGCCACTAAGCAGTAGGTGGGGATCCAGACCAGGTGATCCAGTGCCCTTACCCAATGCACTCTGCTGGGGGTTCCTGTAAGAGTTGTGGGATCAAGTAAACAGCTTTGCTTTTGTCCCGCTCTGGGCAAGTCACTTCACCTCTCTGAGTCTCAGTTTCCTTATCTGTCACATGGGTACCCTTCCTCATAGGGCTCTTCTGGGAATTCTGGGCAGTAACTTGGCATGCTTTGAAAAGTGTGGTAAAGACGAGAGAGGGAGTTGGAGATTGACGTTTGTATATCTGCGCATTGTTTTATTTTCTTATCCTGCTCCATCTTTATATCTAATCCATCCCCAAGTCCTGTCAATGCTAATTCCCAAATTTCTCTCAAATCTATCCACTTCTCTCCCATCTCCACTGCCGTCCCCTCAGTCCAAGCCACCGTCTACCACAAAAACCTCCTAACTGGTTTCCTGGCTTCCATTCTTGCTCCTTCAAACCCATTTTCTACACAGCAGCTCTCAGCTCTACCACTAACTTTAAAATGCAACTCTGAATCCCTCCCCTCAAAACACCCTCAACTAGCCTTCTATTCTTAAGAACTGAACTGCCCACAGGACCCTGTCCCCTCTGGGGGCCCACTTGTCTCATGTTCCTAGCTGCCTCATGGAGATCAGACCTGGTATGGGATCTGTGTATTACCAGAGTCAAGGGCGAGTCTGCGGATCATGTGACCTAAAATGCAGGTAATTTGTTTCTATCTAAAGTACAAAGCAAAACCCCTGGGACTGATAACAGAAACTATCTTTGTGAGCTTTGGCCCCTAAGAATCCACTGCTTGTGACCCAAACCTTCCTGACGTGATGGCTAGTTTGTGAACTGCTAACACACACACACACACACACACACACACACACACACACACAGATAGACACAGACACACACAGACACACAGACAGACACAGACACACACACACGGACACACACACAGACACACACAGACACAGACACACACAGACACAGACAGACACACAGACAGACACAGACACAGACAGACACAGACACACACACACACACAGACACACACACAGATACAGACACACAGACACAGACACAGACACAGACACACACACACAGACACACAGACACACACACAGACACACACAGACACACAGACACACACAGACACACAGACACACAGACACACACACAGACACACACACACAGACACACACACACACACACAGACACACACAGACACACACACACAGACACACACACACACACACACACACACCCCCGCTCTAGCAGGTAATTCCTTGGAATCCTCTCAAGGGCATTTCCCAACTGTCCCAAATAAACCAAAACAGCACAGCTGAGGGCCAACTGCAGCCAGTTTTTGCTACAGTTCTCATAGGTTTATGCTCCAGTCGTGTTTTTTTTTTTTCCTGCTCCTAAAAATCTTTACAGTCTTGCTACTGGAACTTCACTTAGCCTATTGTTTCTGACAGAAACTCGCTGCCTCCCCTCCTCTGTCAGATAATTCCTACTTAGTGAGCAATGTAAGAGTCGCCTCCTCCCTGGGGTCCACTCTGACCTCCAGAGCATGCCACACCCCCACACCCTCATCACTGTTGGTCTTTGCTGTAATACAGTCTTCTCTGATAGACTGTGGACTCTGCAAACCCAGGGACTGCTGGGTCTTGTTTTCTCATCTGTCACAGGGCTTGGCTCATAGTAATGGAACAATAGTCCCCACCCCTACCCCACCCTGCCTCTGCTGGTTATTCCCATTGGCACCCAAATGTGTTGAAATACTCATGGTTAAGAGCGCGGACAATGGAGCCAGGTGGCCTAGATCTGAATCTTAGCTCTACCACAAACTAGCTGTGTGACGTTGGGCAAGTTAATTTCTCTGTGACTTGAATTTCCTGATTTTTAAAAGAGAAATGTAATAGTAGCTACCTCCTAGATCTTTTTGAGTATTAAGTAAGTTAATATAGAAAGAGAGCTTAGAGCAGTGCTTGGCACACGGTAAATGCATGTGAGCTACCATCATCTTAAAAATAAAGTAAAACCTATTGACCTCACAACTCCCTCCAGCTATTGCTCCTATTTCTCTGCTACTTAAAATAGCAAAACTCAAGAGTGGTTCCTTCTGTCTCCACTTCTCCCCTCCCATTCTCTCCTTACCTCACTCATACTAGCTAGAGTGTCTCCCCCACCAGTCACTGAAACAACTCTTGTTAAGATCACCACAGACTCCAAGTTGCCAAATCCAGTGGTGGATGTTCAGCCCTCATCGTCCTCATGCTCTCAGAGGTGATGGCACTGAAGATCACTTTCTCCTTCTCGAAATACTGTCCCCTCTTGGTTTCTGGATGCACCTCACTCTCTTGACTCTCCTCCTCTCTCTGGCTTTTCCTTCTCAGCCTTCTTTGTTGGCTCCACCTCACTTCCCCAGCCTCTCAGTGCTGTCATGCCCGAGGCTCAGTCCTCAGCCCTCTTCTCTATCTGTACTGTCCCCCTGCGTGCCGTCACCGTATTTCAGGGCTTAAAATGCCACTGACGTGCTGCTGACCAACACAATACTCCAGCCTCGTCTTCTCCCCGAGCCCTAGACTGGTATATCCAACACCATCTTGACACATCCACTAACAGGCACCTCAAATGTGAGGATCTAAAACAAAACTGATTCTCTCACTCAAACCTGCTCCCCCCCACAACCTTCTCCATCTCATTAAACGGTACCACCCTTTCCTGCCTTGTGCAGTTCAAAAACCTTGGAGTGAGTCATCCTTGACTCCCTTCTTTCACTCACTCACATCCAACATCAAGTTCATCAGCAAGACCTGCCAAGTCTACCTTCAGTTTGTATCTTGACTCTAACCTCCTCCCACCACCTCATCTGTCATCATCATCTTCTGAGCCTAGATCCTCAGTCTGAGGCCACCATCCTCTCATGCCTACACTGCTACAAAACTCTTCCCTCTCCACATACCTCAGAACACAAAAACATAAACTGGATCACGCCATTCCCCTGCTCAAACCCTCCAGAGGCCTCTCATCACACACAGAATCCAGTCCCAACTCTTGTGCCTGGGGATCTGGCTCTTGCCTAACTCACTGACATCATCTCCTACGCCTCTTTCTCTAGCACTTGTTCTTTTTTCTGTTCCACCCTTGACTTTCTTCTGTTCCCTGGATACACTAAGCTCATTCCTACCTCAGGGTCTTAGCACATGCTGTTCATACTGCCGGGATTGCTCTTCCCCTCTATCTTCACATGGCTGGATCCCTCCCTTAATCCAGATCTCCGATGAGGCCTTCCTGGAGCACTATCCTCTCACCTGGCTTTATCATCTTCATAGCACTTCAAATGAAATTAGCTTGTCTGCTTCCTCCACTAGAATATAAGCTCCAGGAGGGTAAAGACATAGCCTAACTGTACTACTGTTGCCTAAAGCAGCACCTGCAGCATTGTAGGCAATCGATAACCTATTGTGATAGAGTCGATTCCAACTCATAGCGACCCTATATGACTGAGTAGAACTGCTCCATAGGGTTTCCATGGCTGTAATCTTTACAGAAGCAGACTGCCACATCTTTCTTCCACGGAGCAGCTGGTGGATTTGAACTGATGACCTTTCAGTTAGCAGCCAAGTGCTTAAACACTGTACCACCAGCGCTCCTTAGGCAATTGATAAATAATTTTAAAAGCTGAACTACTCTCCACTCTGTGCCAAATATTTTGCTGGCCCGGCTATATGGGCCAACTCCCTTTCCAAAATGTCCTCCACACCACAGCAAGAACAATTCTAACACAGATCTGACGGGTGGCACCACATGCTCAGGACAACTCTCAGCCTGCAGGCTGGGGGACTCACCAACAGTGGTGATGGGCTTGGAGTAGGGCACCAGCCCCCAGGTGTCAGAGGAGAAGAGGCCTCGACCATGGAAGATGCACGGGGCAAAGCCAATGTACTTCTGGAACTTCTTCTGGACCCATCGGCCCCAGGAGCCCTCCTCAAAGATCACCTGCTTATACACTTCATTCTCCCCAAAGGAGTAGGTGGGAACCAGGTCAGCTCTGGAAGGGAGACAACAGGGCCTGTCACACCCTAATTGCTGGCTTCAGTTCTTACTTTCAGCCCAAGAGGCCCTTGACACCACTGAGGCTCATCCTTGCCCCCACGAGGCTCATCCTTGCGCCCAAGGGTATACCACAATCACTTGGAGGTATCCCACACTCATATGCCCCTCACTACCAGACCTAGATAGGCCTTGACCTTGCTAGTGACCAGGGATCATGTCAGGGCTTTGGGACCACTAGGCAAGAAATAACGTTGAAAGCTCTGCCCTGGAATGCCTATTCTTCTTGTTCATCCTTTAGGGCCTGCCTCCCCTAGGAAATCCTCCACGTCACACCCACCACCACCAAGCCTCCTCAGCCCCGTATTCACCCCTATGTCACAGCTCTCAGCACACTGTCTGTTCCTGCCCTCTCCCCCAACTCCACCAATGGTGTTCCCTGAAGGCAGGGACAGGGTCTGGTTTGATTGTATCTCCAAGGCCTGGCACAGGGTCAGGCACTAAAGAGCAGGGTCTTCTCACCGAAGCCTGAACTAAGATCCTGAGGAGACAGAGGAGGGTTGCTGTCACCCCTGCCACACTCCAGGCTGGATGGGGCCTAGATGAAGTGGCTTAGTGCCATCCCTAATGTGTGTGTGACAGCAGGTCACGCTGTCTCCCACTCTGGCTATGTCCTGCTGGAAGTACTTCATTCCAGGGCCCGTGCCTCCTCCTGGGGCCACCCGGAACCCAGACATAGGAGGAAAAGAGTGGACTTGGAGCCCAAAGAGCTCACTTCTCTGACCAGGTCACTTAGCCTCACTCAATTTTCTCCAGTGGAAAATGGGTATGTCATCACCTGCATGATTGCTGGGAAATCAGAGGAGACAGGAGAAGTGAAGTGTTTTGTCAAATGAAATGTGCTAGATAGGTGACTACATAGAATATATCTCTGCTTTTCTAGAAAGGGTCACAGAACTCCAATTTGCCCAGTTCCTCTCAGCTATCCTCAGGGTCACCGCCTCCAAGAAGCCTTCCCTGATGTTCCAGTCATATATCCTCCTTCCTAACCTCTTGCTCTCCTAGCATCGTGATACATTTTACTCGCAGGTGGTAAGTCTTTTCATAGTCCCTTCTGATGTTTACCCACATATGAGCTTGGCTTCTTAGCTGACCTGCAAGGGCCCAGGAGACAGAGGCTGAATCCCTGCCCTACCCAGACACCCAGCATACACTTGGGCAAACTTGGCCTGAATGTCCCAGTCTGGGCTCCAACCTGCTCTCTCCCGCAAGACAGGGAAGTCTCTCCTATGCCTTCCTGGGGTCCAAGCCCTGCCTCCAGAGGCCAAGCAGAGCTTTAGGACTGTGTGTGTGTGTAGAGAAGGCACTTACCCATGGCGCAGGGCCAGTTTCACAAAGCCCTTGCGGTTGCGCAGAGTGACGGCATTCTTGCCTGGCATGGAGCTCAGAGACTCGGCTGCGCCCCCCACTACGATGATGATGGCATTGCCGCTCCCATTCTTTGAAAGCAGGTAGTCTATGGTGTCTCGGTTGACAGGGCAGATGCCTGAGGAGGGGACGCACAGTCAGGGCTGCCCACTGATGCACTCCCCATCCCCTGCACACAGTCCTGGGTAAGCAGGAAGCACCCTGGACTTGGACCCCAGATCTAACCCAGCCACTTAAAAGTTGTATGGCTCTAGGTAAGCTATTCATTTTTCTAAGTCTCAGCTTACTTATCTGTAAAATGGGGACATGATACAAGGTTATTTTGGGGATTCATTCATTTGACAAACATCTCCTCTGAGGTCCTAACTCTGTCAGGCTGGTGCTGGGTGCAGAAGACCTAGATGAATCAGGCTGGTGGGGTGATGGGCAAGTGAACAATGACAGTGTCATGGGCAATGACTAGAGCAGCACAGGGGCTAAGGGTGCCCAGAGAAGGTTTCCTAGGGGAGATGCTCTGCACACTTCTCTCTCATTCATTTCTCTCAAGCAGGACCCTGAGATGGAAAGTCAGCTGCCCTGCTCTTAAGCTCCACCTCCTCTTCCCTGTCACCCAGATCGTCCTCTGATTCTCCTCCCTCATCCAGGGGGCACTGCCTAGCCCTCCAGAGGGAGAGTCACAAGCCAAGAGAGGTGCCAACCGTAGACCTGATGTCAAGGCGGGTCAGAGGTGGCAGCATAGGAGGGCCTGGTGGGATGCCAGAGACTGGGTCTAATTTGATTGAAAGCTGCCTGGAGGGTAGAGGGAGAGATGGGCCAAGCAATACTGACCAGAAAAGCTTAAGAAGAGAGGTGGTACCAATCTGGATTCAGAGGGGACCTTATGTGTCAGATATTTTTACAGGTGAGAAAATAACTCAGAGAAGTTAAGTGGCTTGCCCAAAGTCACACAGCTAGGAAACAGTACAACCCAGGGCTGGCCATTCTGTGAGTGGAGCCTCCTAGTACACAGGCAGAGACCAGGAATAGGGCCCAAGGCAGAGACAAGCAGAGTTAGGCTGAGCCCACACCCAGCTCTGGCTGCAGCAACACTGCTGAGTCCTGCAGCCAGGGGTCACCCAGCAGCCAGTAGGGCCTATGGAGACAGCAGAGATAGAAGCCACCAGTTTTAACTCCAGCTTCATCCTCTCTGCGTAGACTCTTGCCTTCAGGACAAATCACTGCTCCAATTTCTTCCTGAGAAATGAGTCCAGCTTTACAGACTCCTGGGGAGAACTCAATATCTAAGGCAGCATCTCTCAATTTTTTATCCCAGGATAAGGCCCAGTCACCATTCCCTTCCACTTATCAAAAGCCTATCAAAACCCAACCCAAATGTCACCTCCTACATGAAAAGCCCTCCATCCAAGCCAGAATGAGTCCTTCTGTGCTCTGGGATCCCAGAGAACACCGCCCGCATCTCTGTATGAACACCTCCCCAGCTCAGCCTTGATGCACCTATGTCTATAGCCCCTTGTAACTCCCAGCACGGGACCAGCTACAGGTATGTTGGCTCCCAGGCATACTGTCCTGCTGAGTGGAGAGGCTCACACCTCAACAACAGACCACAGCTGGGGCAGGGAGAGGTGGATTCTCACCTCCGGACATCAGGTACTCTCTCAGCACTGGCATGCGGAAGTTGCCAGCCAATGTAGCCAGGTAGGGCTTTATGCCAGGGAACTTCTTGCTCACTTCTGTGGCCTCTGTGCTAAAGTTGCAGAAGGCGCCCAGGCCCATGATGCCATGGGGGTGGTATCCAAAGATATAGTTCCTGGTGGTGATCAGGTTGTGTGTCTTTACCAGCTGTGAGAAAAGCCTTGAGTCAGAGAAAAATGGCCAGGAAAGGGGTACTGACTGGGCATGCCAATCCCCACCCGGGACTCTGGAGGCCTGAGGGACTAGAGTGACTCTCCACACCTGACCTCAGACCTTTACCACTGGGGCCGCAGTCCCAGGTGCTCGGCAGTCCCCTTGTGGACTGAGTCCCTGGGAAGGGGCTGGGAAACTTTCTCCATCACTCCCGATTCTCCCAGCTAAACATGCACCAGGTCCTCTTATTCATACTCTGCCAGCTTCCTGTCTTCCCTCCTTTGGGGCCCATCCTCCTCACCACAGCCAGAGTGATTGTCCTAAAACCCAAATCCAACCACCTGTCACTCCCAGACTAAAAAGGGGTGTCTAACTTCCATGAAGATAAAGTCCAAGTCTCTTAAGTTTGGCAGTCAGGGCCTTGGCTACAAGCCCTGCCTTCCCTGTCCGTCTCCCGAGACGGTGGGCTCCTTGAAGGTGGGGTCTATCTGACCTCTGTGCTCACTGGATGGACCATCCAGCCCACCAGAGAAGGTCCAGTGCAGCTGGTCTGAATGGAAAGTTCCTGCAAGGCAGCCAGGCTCAGCTCAGGCTCTTGGGCAGGAAGGACAGGACGGGTTAAAAAACAGCCCTTGTGCCAGTCACGGCGGGAGGGGCTGCAGCAGCTGATGACCTGTGGCACTATCAACAAAGCTGACCTGGGATGATCCAAAGAATGACTGGCGTCCTCAGGGCCCACCCCCTGCTCTGGTCCTGGTAGCCTGGAGGGTGGAGTGATGCAAAGTTTCCAGAAACCCTCAGCCATGAGAAGCGCAGAGCCAGAGACCCCCTACCTGCCTTCCAAGGAACATGATAGGAGTGGAGGGTGCTGAGCATCACTTTTTTTCTGGTTAGAAAAATAACAAATACTCAGAACTTTAAAAATATAGAAAAGTTTAAAAAAAAAAAAAAAGCACCTATAATATCTCCATCCAGATAAACCACTCTGATGCATTGATGGCTTTCCTTTTTCTACTCACATAAACACACACTTTTTTTCTAAAACCACAAAATTCAGATCACATGGTTCAAAATTACTTTTATGTAATTTTCTACTAAACATATTATAGCTATTTTTCCTTATCAAAATTCCTCAGTAACATGCTGTCTCAAGGCGGCATATCATTCTACCACACAATTCTGCCACATGGACTAGAACTGAATCCAATTCCAGCTGACAGGCATGTAAAAACCTTCCAACATTTCCCTCTTAGAAATAATGCATCAGTTAGTATCTTTGTTTGCATATCTGATTGTTTTCTTGGGACAAACTTCTAGAAATACAATTCCTGGGTGACAGGGCATAAACATCTTGGTCCTTTTGGCTGCTCTGCTTCCAGGGAGATGGTTCCACTAACATCCCACCTGCAGTGCATGAGAGGCCAACTTCCCTGCACGGTGCCAGCTGCAAGCTGCGTCACTGGCCCTTGGCAGAATATCAAGAGCCCGGGTTTTCCATGACTCCTTTGGGAACCTCTGGGATGAAGGGAGGAACTGGTGCCCAGTTTGCGGGGAGAGGGTGCTGGTGGCTGGCATCGGAAAACTGAAATCCAAAACTTTACCTCTTAATAGGTGACAGATGCCTGAGAGGGGATGGGACATAGGGTAGCTGGTACCATTCCCAAATCTGTGAATGCCAGTATGTATAAGTGTAAGCAAGACTCTTTAGTTTTACTACCTATTCCTTAGGACATTCATACTCTTTCTCCTGCTTTCCCTTCAGTAAGTAAGAAATCCAATTAACCCTCAGCTGCCCACCAAATAAATAGGGGAACAGCAGTGCCCTAATCCACGGCTAGTGGGGCATGGGGGCAGTGAGGGGATCAAAAGGAGCCCAATTTTACATGAGCTTTGCAAGACTGTTGCTGTGATGTTTCACCCCCTAAACAGCAGGTCTGCCCAGTAATCTACCTCTCGGAAAAGCTAGAATTAAAAAGCTCCTGTGCCAATTTCCATGGAAAAGGAAGGTACTGAGTTAAGAGCTTAGGCGGCCAGTGGAGGACTGGAAACTTGCTCTTGAGCTGGTGTCTAGGCCTGTCCTGATAACCAGGAGCCCAAAGCACACAATGGGCTGGAAAAGCCCTGAGGATTTGGGCCTGTCCTTTGATTACAAGATGGAGACTGAGGCCTAGAGGAGGGAGTTGCTGCTTCCCCTGAGGAGGTCAGAGCAAATCACCATCCATGTCTAGTCCAGGCCACCAGCTGCGCTTTTCCCTGGTGGCTGGGATGTAGATGTGTCCCCTCAAGGGAACCCTAGCTGGCCCACCCAACTCCCTATCTGGTTAAATGAGGCATCTCAGGGCACAGTGCAGCTTAATGGCCCATGGTGCTACACCTAGAAGAACAGCTTTGATCTATCCTCATGCCACACTCTCCTCCCCCAAGGCTGGACAGAGTCTCCATTCAGGAGGGAGGAGGAAGGGCACTGCTGATGAAGGTTCTGCTGACATGCGCTCTCTTGTGTCCTCTGACTGTTCCACAGCAAAGCTCTAGCCTATGGTGGAGCCCAGGCCAGGCCTGCTGGCTAACGAGAGCCCGGGACACGTTCCTGGCAAACCAGTCCTCACACTCTGCCTCCCAGGCCACACAAGGTCAGACTGGTGAGGCAGGAAAGGTACTCAGATAGGGTGGTCCCACCCTGGCACCATATAGAGGACAATACTCAGGCTCAGAGGAGAGTAGGGACTTCTAAGCTTACACAGCAGAGCATGGTAGAGCCAGAACTGGAACTTGGGGATTGGCACTCCCAGCTCAGAGCCCACTCTAGGCCTTCTTGATCTCCTGGTCAGCAAGCTGGCTGACGTCAGTGATGGGAGGATTCAGTGTGAAAGCTGACAGGCTTCTATTTGCACATCCCTGCTGATCTGCAGCCCCAGCCGCCCCTAGATGTTCAGAGGCGTCATGAACATAGAGAAATGTACGGGGAAGAGAATGGCCCCTGAAGCAGCAAGTCCTGGTTCCTACACCTACTTGCCACTAACTTGCTTTGTGACCTTAGGACAGTCCCTCCTTTCTGGGCCTCAGTATTCCCATCTGTGAAATGAGGCAGATGAACAGATAGATGATTCTTAACTCAGAGAGCCTTTCCTGGTCTTCTCTCCAAAGAGCCTGTCTATACTTCAGGGAGAGGTGACCCAGGGCACTGACCACTCCTCATCCAGGCAGCCGGCAGTCCTGTTCGCTGCTGTTAATACAGAAGCCCCACCTCTGCTGGGGGAAGGGATGTTCTCTGGGCCAGGTGAGTTGCTCTGGTGGCAAAGAGAAGGGAGTGGGGAGAGTTGGGTAGGCGAAGCTGGAGATAATTACACAACCATTGGCAAGAGGCTGGGTAAAGGGGGTGGGACAGGAGGGACGCCTATAACCTCATAGAACATCAGGGCTGCCCTGACATCAAGTCACCAAGGCCAAACCCTCCCTGTACAGAAGGGGAGACTGAGGCCCTGAGGGGTAGGAGCTTGGCCAAGGTTACCAGCAGGCTAGGGCAGAGCCTGGGCTAGGTTTCAGGTTGAGGCTCAGTGCCCCAGCCTGCCTCATGCCCAGCCTGGCTTTGGTTTTGGTGCCCAGGAGCCCCCATGGGGCCAGCCCACGTGCGCCCTGTGGCTCTCAACTCCCAGCTGACTTTTTGGAACAAAGGTATGGTAAGGGACACAGTTTTGTTTCTGTTCTTCTGGAAAGGCAGAGATCAGATGGGGAAGGGACATGCAATTTTATTTAGGTTCTTCTGGAAGGGTGAAGATCAGGTGGGGAGGGGGACTTGCCTGTCCCAGGTCTGACCAACGATCATCAGGATATTCTGTCCTGGGTGGAGGGGGCTATCGGCTTCAAGGAAGCTTTCTGAAGACCAGGCCACAGTGAGCCCTGGGCAGGCCATGCTGAGCACTGTCTGGGGCTAGGCCCCTGAAGAAAGGGCCCAGGAGACAGAGAAGAGTCCATAATCCCTCACGCACAATGAAAAATTACCACTTTTAGCATGTAAACAACTTCATTTTGCAGATAAGGCAAATGAGGTTCCACAAGCTTGAGAAAGTTGACAATGGTCCCCAGGGGCAGAAAGTGACAATACAAAGTCTAGTGGGATTCAGTAAATAGTGAACCCCCCATTGTGGGTTCCAGGGCTGACTCTGTGTCCCCAAGCCTAGCACAGAGCCCAGCACTGGGCAAGGAGCGACAATGGCAGGTCAGTGAATACACTGACAGAGCAGGAGATAAACCTAGTCTCCAACCCCAACCCCAATCTAATGTGAAAGTCGTAGAATTGAATCTCTCAGAGAATTAGGCAGTGGGTATTCAGTGGGAAAGAACCTGGGGCTGGGATTCAGGAAGTCTGGGTTCTAGCATTAACGCTGCCACAGACTTGCTGTGCAACCTAGATAAGCCCTTGTCCCTCTTTGGGACTCGGTTTTCTCACCTCCAAATGACAGGGCTGGGTCCTATGATGCAACACCCCCCACCCACCCCCGCAGCAACAACAGCGTCAAATTCTCTGCAGACGAGAGATGGGGTCAGGGAAAGGAAGGGGTGCGAACCTTGACTCCGAGGAGCAGGAAGGTCCTGGGAAAACTGGGTTTAGGCTGAGGTGGGCAGAGGGAGCTGGCCCTGGACCACCCTCATAATACTGAATGCAAGGGAGGAATGTGGGACTACTGGGCCACCTCCCCCAGGCAGCACGCTAGGGTGTCCCAGTTGCTGACAAGAGTAAATGTACACCACCCTACACCATGCCCCAAACACTTTCACACTCACACGCCACCTCCAATCTTCAGGACCAACCGCCTTCTGCTGGGTTACCTCAGCAGCTAGGGCGTGCCAGGGCTGAGGTGCTGAGTGAGCTGGCCAGACAGGTCTTTCCTCTGAGGCGCAAACCTTCAGGATTATGCCAGAGTTATCCGCAATCCACCAGGACTGCCCACATGCACCAGGGCCCCAGATGCCTCTGCCTGCCAGCCAAGCTTGCAAATCACACACCACAGGGGGCCAGACACAGATGAGACTGAAGGCCAGATGGAGCCACCATTTATCCTGTCAAGACCTCAGGGTTGGCCCCAGACAAGAAGAGTGCGTGGGCCCCAGAGCAGCCAGTGGTGGAAAAGGAAGGAAACCAAGAGACCAGCTGGCCTAAACTTGCTTCATATGAGGAGATTGTGCCTTGGAAGGGGCAGTGCTTAACCCAGGTCATTGCTTTTCTGCCGCTCTCTTTCAAGCCTGTGAGAAGTCTGTGTACGCACCCCAGCTTGCTTCTCACAGCTGTGGGGCACAGAGAGGCAGCATGCTGTGGTGGGAAGAGCCTTCCAAAGATCTTACAGAAATACTTGTCTGAGCTAGTCCCTGGGGGGGTTGCAGGGGGTCATGGCTGTGGGGATAAGGGCCCAGGCAGCTTGATGTGCAGTGAAAGAAGGATGAGATCCTGGGAGCTAAAGTAGTTAGGGAAGGCTTCTGGAGGAGGTGCTCCCTGAACTCCACCTTAAAGGAGCATAGCACTGAGGAAGCAGGGAAACAGCCAGAGCACAGGCAGCTGAGTTTGAGAATAAGCCTGGGGTGTGGGAGATGGTGAGGAGGCATTTACTGACAGCCTGGTAGGAGCCAGCACCTTTCCACAAGGAGTCTCCTTTAACCCTCACAGCAGCCTATAAGGCAGGAATTAAGATAATCCCCTTTTTACAGAAGAGGAAACTGAGGGTCAGAGAGTGGCAAAGCTGTATGAGGCTAGTGAGGGTTGAGGTGAGATTCCAACTGCTGTCCTGCCTCAAAGCCCATGGTCATGACCCCCAGTGACCCACCTAGTAACTGGCTGAAAGAAGTATTCCTATAAGACCTTCAGAAGGAAACAAAGTCTGCCCCTCTCCATTACTTTAACTTCTCTTTCTGGTTCAGGCCAGATGAACTTGGACCTTCTTAGTATTGCCCTTGATAAACCACCTCTATATTAAATTAAAGGATCCTGGTGGTACAGGAGTTAAGTGCGTGGCCGCTAACTGAAAGGTTGGCGGTTCCAACCCACCGGCTGCTCCACGGGAGAAAGATGTGGCAGTCTGCTTTCGTAAAGATTACAGCCTTGGAAACCCTACGGGGCAGTTCTACTCTGTACTATAAGGCCACTATGAGTCAAAATCAACTCAAAGGCAATGGGTTTGGTTTTTCTGGTACAGTATATTAAGTCATGCCCTTAATATTCACTGAAGGGCAGAGCAAAGAATGGCCATAATATCTGCTATTATACCTGCTCCTTCTATCACTCAGTATATAACATACATGTGTAAAACATATATATCCTGATTATGTTACCCTTTTTGCCTTGGCTGCCAGGAAATTCAGAGCTGAATGTGAAGTTCAACGACAATAACTTTGTTGACCCTTATGGCTGAAATACTAGTTAAGGGTTTTTTTTCCCCTCAAGTCTTTATTTCCTCTTTACACTGTATGGCATTATATGTATCCTAAAACTAGTTGTTGTCGAGTTGATTCTGACTCATGGCCCATGTGTGTCAGAGTAGAACCGTGTTCCACAGGGTTTTCAATGGCTGACGTTTCTTCCAAGGCGCCTCTGGGTGGACTCAAACCACCAATCTTTGGGTTAGCAGCCGAGCAAATTAGCCGTTTGTACCACCCAGGGACTCCACATGTATCCTAAATTGCCTCAAATTCTGCATTACGCAGGGTAGAGTACAAACAGACGCTTATAGTGGGAGATGTCACATGGTTCAATTTGGCACGTTGTTGAACCACTTAACCTACTGGATGGGTGTGTTAAAGTCTGAGTTCAGATTTTTATCCTCTCCCACCTACCCAAGATAACACCCACAAGGCTTTACCTGGATGGGAAAGTAGTCTCGAAAGTAGCGCCACACAGCCCAGTTTCGGACCCACTGTGACCTCCTGCCACCTTCCGGGAAACAAAACACAATTTGGGAAGGAGTGGGGATGGGGTGAGGGGGGAGACTTGGGCAAGGCAGACAAGAAAGGGGAGTTGAAAAGTGCCACAAGGCCCCAAGGAAACTGGGAACATGGACATTCCAGTTTGAAATCCTGAGGTAGATGACTATCACCCTATGCAGCACCTGCCCCCCTTTCCCTAGACCCCCTTCTACATTCACTCTCTTGTGTTACATAAACCTTGATTGAGAGTGAGCTCCTATGAGGACCAAAATGGCGCCCTTTAAGGAGCTTTTACCCACTCCTCGAAACCACACTCTGGCCTAGCCCAATGCTCTTCGTGAAGTAGGTGCAGAAGGGAGACAGTCACAAGGGTGAGGGGAGGGGGTAAGCCGAGGGAGGCCGCCAGTTCTGGTACCTTTGTTGGGCGTGTTCCAGTCAAACACCAGCCAGGTGAAGTAGAGCACGGTGATGAGCCACCAGTCAGTGCAGAACGTGTACATGAGGATGACGCTGCAGGCCACTCCTGCGGGGGGCACACAGATGGCCACAGGTCAGGCCCTGCTCCCCCAGGGATGGGCCTCAGTCTCCCCTCTGGGAAGTGGAGGTCTGGGGTCCTGAACCAAGACTCACCAAGTGACTAAGTGAGCATTTATCATGGCACTAAGCTAGGCACAGCTGGGGCCACAGGCAAAGGGGGTTTGTGACCATGTCATGTGAGAAATGGCTAAGGGAATGCTCAGTATGGGGAGGAACAGGCTCACAGGGACACAAGTGGCAGTCCTGGCATCAAGGGGCAGAGGGGCTCACTGTTGCCTGGGCAGCAGTCCTGGAGGAGGTGGGCTTCAGCTTCCTGTGTCTGTTCTTCAAGCTATTCTTTCTGTCCTCTCCTTGCTCGTTCTCCTCACCCAGTGTCCAGTACATAATTACCATGGGGGAGGGGAGGGAACACCTTCCAAGAGCCACTACATCTCGGGATTTCGGCTAAGCCACTGTCTGTGAGACAGGGTAAATTTTACCCCATTTTGGAGATAAGAACACTGAGGTTCAAGGGGTAAGTAACTTGCCCACGGTCACCTGGCAGGACAGTGGCGGAGCCAGAATGCAAACCCAGGTCTGACTATAAAGGCCATACTCTGTGCACCAGACTTTAGTAGTTCACCAAAATTAGATGTCCCAGACTGTCACTGGAAGAACCTGCGTGAGGGGATTTCTGCTGCCCCCCACACGCCAAAGAAGCTTCCACCTTGTGAGGGCTGGGGGCAGTGACAGAACCCATCAACCTGCCTCTCCTCGAGAACCTTAACAGGGCACTTAGAAGCCTCCTCTGGGGCCAGTTTCCATCTAGTCACTCTGTTCTGGCCACAGCCATGGCACAAGGTTGAATAACTTGGCACAGCAGGGAAGGAAAGTCAGTGCCAAGCCTGGTTTATCTCATGACTCGCCCCCAGACGCCCTCATGGGGCTTGTCTCTTTCCAATTCCTGTCCAGACTTCAAGGCCTAGCTCAGATCTCATCTCTTCAAGAAGCGACCTCCAGTATCATACTATCCCACATCATGAATCTCTCACCTCTGAGAGACTTAAAAAAAAAAAGAAAAACCCACTGCTGTCAAGTTGATTCTGACTCATAGCAACTGTATAGAACAGAGTAGAACCGCCCCATAGGGTTTCCAAGGCTATAATATTTATGGAAGCATATCACCACATCTTTCTTCCGTGGAGTGGCTGGTGGGTTCGAACAGTTCGTGTTTTGATTAGTAGCTGAGTGCTTAACCTCTTGGGCCCGTGGCATCCAACACAGGGCTAGAGGGCAGCAGGCGCTCCCAGCTGGTGGAAGAAGCATAGCCTCCTTCCAGCACCCTCTCCATTGCCCAGGGAGAGAAGCCAACTCGTGCTGTGTGCCCACCCTGTGCTGGGCACTGAGCTGGTCAGAGGTGCTCCAGGGCTCCCTGGCTCTGGAGCTCATCTTCTCTTCTTCCCACCATGCTGAGCTTCCTCTGGTTTCCTCAGGGAGAGGGTAGGGCCAGACACAGATTCTCCAGGAGCCTAAGAGTTCCTGGAGGGCAGGGGAATAGTGGCCCCTGTCCTCCCCAGTCCAGTCCTGTTCTAGACTCCTGGGCTAGCATCTCTCCAGGGTAACTCAAAATAGAGCACAACTACCTTGGGAGGGGCAGTAAACATGGAGCAGCCAGGCATCCAGTTTTTCAGGACCAGCTTAGGAGTGTGACATCACAGATACGGAAGATGAGTCTCTAGGGAAGCACGTGCAGCCTAGGAGACCCTGTTAAAGGCAAACTGTGAAGCACTTGAGACAACTTGGTGAATGGCTATATCTAAGTTAAGGCCACTTACGAGTCACTCACATTGTCTAGCAGTTTGCCTCTGGTCCCCTTTCTTAGGTCTGGAAAAAGGACCACTCTAGCTCCATAGACGCCACAGGTATCCAAACTCCTTTACAGGCTATGTGGATGCTCCAGGGTCCATGGGGTTCAGGCTAGAGTCTGAGCAGCCTGGGGAAGTAGCTGCTGGCAAACCCTTAACTCTTCTGAGGGGTAGAGGACCAGAGGGGGCTGAGTTCCAGGTCCTGTTGCCTAGAGGTCTGGTCTCCCTGGGAAAGAGGATATCCCTGCCTAACTGTCCTTCCTTTGATGCTAAGGCAGCCTGGAGGGAGGAGAAGAGAACCAACTAAGAGTCCAGAGACTGTGTTCCAGTCCCAGGCTTTCTCAGCTGGGGGGCCCACTCCTCCCAGCCCCTGTGTGTCCACAGCCCCTATCTCACAGCACTCATCATTGCTATCTGCCTCCTCCATTATCCTCCCTTTGACAGACAGCCCATGGGCTCCTTGGGAACTAGAACGAGGTCAGACTGATCTCTCCAGTCTGTGTAACCAACACAGGAAAGGCTTATTGAGCAAGAGAGTGAACTAAGCCCACCAAATGACCTTCTTTTCTCAGAGCCTAACCATCATCCTCTAAACAACAGGCCAGGAACCCTGTTCCACCTCTAAGGTTGTGGGGCCACAGGAGAAAGCAATGTCACTGGTCAATAAGATAAAAACAATGTACCTGTAACACCCTTTCTGCTCCACACATGGGAGGCTCAGGATCACCTTCACATACCACTCCTGCCCCATACATCAGGTGGCTCACAAAGTAGCTAGTGATACAAAACTCTGGACCCCTAAGGTACTGCGTGCAGGGCAACCTGTGGGTACTTGGTGGTGGGGGAGGCAGCAGCATGGCCCAGGGAAGTATAGACTCTGGGGCCACACAGACCTAGAGCCTTGGCTCTGCCACTTACTGGCCATGCCCACCCCTGGGCCTTAACTTCCTTACAGGTTGCTGGGAGGATTAACTGAGAATGTTTAAAGAGGGCTTAATACAGAACCTGGCACACAATACAGAGGCACAGCAAGGGGAAGCTTAGAGAGTGGGAGGAGGGCACCAGATGAGGCAAGGAATGACATTCCAAGGTGCCATTAATATGAAAGGCACCTGACTGAGGCAGCCAGAAAAGAGGAGGGAAGGCATTTCTGCTGACTCATCACCACCATCAACATCTACTCATCTTGAGGAAACCCTGGCGGTGTACTGGTTAAGAGCTACCGCTGCTAACCAAACGGTCGGCAGTTCAAATCTACCAGGGCCTCCTTGGAAACCCTCTGGGGCAGTTCTGCTCTGTCCTACAGAGTTGCTATGAGTCAGAATTGACTCAACAGCAATGGGTTTGTTTTTTATTTATTTATCTTGAAATGGGGGTTGGGGGACAATACAACTTAGAGATTGCCCCTGGGCGCTCATTATCCTTGCTATACCCCTGACACAGTAAGTGTCTGATATGGAGGTCCGTGGACTTGGATGGGAAAAAAAAGGACATCTGTATTTTTACTCATCTCTTAAGAAATTTAGCATTTCCTTCACTTGTGAATGCAGCTAACACACCAGAGTAGTATTAGCAGTACCTGTTGATAGAGACACCAATAGAAAGCAAAGGTATTTTCACATCACATTGCAGATACCTTGAAATATCATTTATTCATCATTACTTAAGAATTTACAGTAATTATTACAACTGCTGCTAGAATTTTTTATTTAATCTTTTAATTAACGTATACTATTAAGTTTGTTTTTTTAATGTGAATATTTATACTTCAATATCATTGGTTTCCTTTGGGGAAATCTTTGAAATCCAATGTACTTTATGTCATACATTTAAAAACACTGAGAAAGGGTTCATGGCACAAAAATGGTGAGAAACCTCTGGTCCAGGGGGAGGCTGACAGGGTCCTGGCAGCCTTTGCATCACTGGGCGAGCCCTGGCCAGCGGGTTTGGGTGGTAGCAGGAAGGAGGGGCTGGGGCTGCTCAGGCAGTAATTAGCAGTGGCTCAGCAGACCTGCCCATCTACCCAGGCCTAGTTCCCACCTTCATGAAGGCGCTGGGAAGATGCTGGGCTGGTTTCTGGGATGTGGTTGGACCTGATAGATTGTTAACCTACAGCCTGGAGCCAGTCCCCATCGTGTGGGATGGGGTTCTACTAGCTGCTCAGTCTCCTACCAGCCAAGCCCTGACCCACTAAGATAGGGATGGTGGTGGCTTGTGGGGTGTAACTGGAGGCTAAGAATGCTGGTGCAGCTGACTAGGCAGGGATCTGGGAGGCTGGAGTCCCCGGGTTCTTATCCTGGCCCTACTAACTCCTTTCATGTGACACTGGGCCAGGCTCTGCCCCCAGTGGGCCCCTGTTCCCTATCTGAACACTGTTCACTCCAGTGTAGTATTCTAATAAGTGGCCACATACAGGCAAAGTTGGGGCTTTGAGCCCCGAGGGAGCCAGTTTAATTTGTTCCCCAGACCGGTATTTATCTTTTTGAGGCCATAAATCCCTGTAAGAATCTATCTGATACAGCAATGACTCTTCTCCCCAGAAAAACGTGCATACACTCTCACATATGTCTTTGCGTTTAATTTTAGGGGCTCAAGGACACCGCCCCGAAGCCCACCCTTGGGCCTAAGGATGAAGACTGGCTGTTTCAGACCTGGTTCACTAATCCTGGACTCCCAGGCAAGGCCCGTGCATGGGCTTCTGCTCACATCTCTACTCTGCCACTTAGTAAGCTTCAAAGTCTCAATTGTCATGGAACCTCTCTGAGTTTCCATTTCCTCACCTTGAAGTGGGGATTCAGGGAAAAACATGTGAAGTGCCTGGTACATTGTGGGGGGTTGACATATAGCACTCCTGTCCCACCCCTCTGCCCTGCAGCTGCCCTGGATGCATGGTATCAGAGCCCCCCATTCGTTCTGGAAGGATGGTTGCCCTGCACCGACATGGTAACTCCTGATAGTCTCCAATCAACCCGGACAATCCTGAAGAGCGCGTAGCTCCCAAGACTCACTCACAGGCTCTGGAATATACTCCATGATGCTTTGCAGCAGGTTTGTCTGACCTGACATGCTGGGGAAACTGCCTTTTATGCTGAGGACAGGGGGCCTGTGGGAGGGAGAAGCTTCTAGGAGAGCAGGGGGTGGC